AGTCAGCTTTTCTAATTACTAAATTCTAATGTCAACTTTCGTTTAGATTTGTCTCATTTCTTAATAGAAAGGAGGAAAAGGTGCTTTTAATTAGTATATTAACCACTGATTTTATTTTTAACCACAAATATTAAAATTGCTTAAAATACATAACAAGCCCTGGAAAAAAGCCTTGAATTCGTGGGTTTCTAATGTGCCAACGTTATGAACATCGTGACAGCAGTGGGGGCCTACCAGAAAATACAACAAACCATACAGATTTGTGAATGGAAACACAAGCTTGTTTTGTGGCAAAAGCTTGTTTTCTTCTTTCTCTTCTTACTACTTGCTCTCTGAGTAGTTCCCCAAATTCATGTTATGTGGAACCAAAACTACTTTGCATTTTCCTGTTGAGATAGAAGGTATGAAAAGAGAGGGCAATCACTGAGAATGTACATGCTCATCTGTTTTATCTATTTTTGATATATTTACAGATAGAAAACTGTTAAGATAATCTTTAGAGGGTATAGTACACAAATAGTTCATCTACAATGGTGCTCTTTGAAGCTGACTTTTTTTCTGATGCACTAAATGTTAAATGGCTAAATGAGTACAAGTAAATAAATCATATACTCTCTTTGGTCATTTTTTCTCTTATTTTGTTCCAAGTTAAACTCCAAGTTAACTAATTCTTTATATGAGTTAAACCATGCATTTTTTTAAAGTCACAGAAAATAAACACTTTCAATTGAAAGCATATCTATATTGGCCTTTTTTTCAATCAGATACATACACCGAAATTTGAACTACCTACTGACAGAAAATGTGTTGAATTTAGGTCTTTTTTGTTCTGTGAATCACTGCTTAAGCCTAAGCCAGATCAGGCAACAAAATATTCAGGTATAATACTGATATGCCTCAACTTTTACTTAGCACTGTAATTTTCTGAGTTAGAAGAATGGAGATGAGAGCCTTGTACTCATGATTTAGGGACAAGAAGGAGTTAGAATTGTCCACAGAAAGTACTAAACAAAAACAGGGCCTAAAGTACTCTAACATCTGGAACCAATTCAAAGATACTTCCAAATGCAGCTCATTTTTCTAAAAATTTACTGTTTGTATACATTGATTATTCAAAGTAATTTTTTAGCTTCCACACATGGTTATTCACTTAGGGACTACCAGTTACACATTTGGTAAAGAGGAAGGAATGGGAAGAGTTAAGAAGACCTTTTCCCCCTGTGTCTTATAATGGCTTTTGTAGCAGTACCTTAATAACTGGATCGTCAAGTCACATAGTTAAGTAGACCATATACTCAAGTATATTAGATCCATTTCTCAAAGGATGAAGACACAGTTAATAAAGATCAGAGTGACTTGATCGGCTGTGCTCAAACAGGATATGCAGTCTTTGATTGTGTTAGTGGCCCACAGATCCAATCTATGCTGTTAGTGGTCCGCACAGATACAACCACACAAAGTTCCCTTCGTTTCCCTTTCAACCTCTTGTTTGTCTTCACCCCCTCCACCAATGTTGAACACTTTCCCCAGAAGTAACCTTCAGTCTCAAAGGATAATAGTCTTTTTGAAATTAACAGGAAATGTACAAACTGGTATTCAGAATCATTAAAATTAGCTGCTTCCCTTATCTATCCCACACAGGAAGATGAGCTATTATTACTTACACAATGTCACTCTTTTTTTAAAAATTTTATGTATTGATTTTGAGAGAGTGGGAGAGAGAGACTGGTTTGTTGTTGCACTTTTTATACACTAATTGGTTGCTTCCTATATGTGCCCTGACCAGAGCTCTAACCCACAAGCTTGGCTTATCAGCTCTAATGTAGCTGAGCTACCCAGCCAGCGTCCACAATGTCTCTTTCATACCCCGTTTTACTTTCTTTTGAAGTTCTACTTTTGTGACTATTTTCATCAAATTTTATACACAATACATATGTATATGTTCAAGAGAGACAAGGATGTCTACTAGAGAAAAGAGAAGAAATAAAAGGAATAAATACAAAGAGCACATTTTTTTGATGTTGCAGAACTTCTTGTGACCCTCTCACACTCTATTTGACAGCCAAGTTTAGAGTTCTTTCTATTTGTTTTTCAGGCACAACCTGGGTCAGTGAAATACTGGATTTGATCTATAACAATGGGGATACAGAGAAATGTAAACGGGGTGCAATATACGACCGAGTGCCATTCATGGAACTTATAGTACCTGGATTTGAAAACGGTATTTTCTCTTAATGTTCCTTTCCACCATAGGAGTAAATTCCACTCCCTCCTTTTTTCTGTGGTGTCTAGAGGAGTCCTGATAGAAAAGATGATACAGACAGAGCTCAAACAGCTGAATCATACATTTCTATAATAACCAAATAAGAATTTGGTTATTCTAACAACCATACTATAGTCCTCTTTCACCCAAAGATAATATCTGTATAAGAGATTTTGATGGGTATATTTTTTATTATCAGGTCAGGAGGAAGTCTTTAACATTTGAATATTAGGTGATCATTATATAAGAAAAATTTAGTGTTTCGTCCAATATAGAGTCATATCTGCTGCTGGTTAGCAGATGTCCAGAGACTCAAGAAAAATAATTGTGTGCATATAAGGTCTTACATTATCAAAAAATTTTAAAAGTAGCCATGAAGCTCACAACTTTCAAAAGGTTAATATAAGAAAGTTGGAAAGAGATTAAGAAGTGCAAGTTGCCAGTTATAAAAATAGTCATGGGAATGTAAATGGTACCAGACTTAAACTGGAATTATTTTGTAAAATATTATAATGTATAATCCCCGTTGTATATATGAAACTAATATATTACATTGTATGTCAACTGGAATTAAAAACAAATTAAAAGAGATATTTTAAAATCTCAAAAAGGAAGCTGGAAAGACATTTCTTGCAGTGTAGATGAGACAATAAGAAAAATAAAGGCAAGAAAATTTTGACATTTTAAAATTTGACCTAGTGTTGTTGCTGCCTCATCAGGTATATCTGAATATTTTATAGACACTTATAAAGATAATAAACTCTGCTATTCATAGGCAATAAAACAGCCTAACTAATCAGGATTTATTACTTAAAAAAATGTCATTGCAGATTTTAGAATTTTATGAGGCCATTTAGCCATATAGCCATTTCAAGCCATGTAGTGGGGTTAAAGTTTACAAAGTGTTCGGCCTATTGTAATGGACCTTTTTTGTTCCACATGTATAATATAATTTAATTTTTTATGCTTGTAGGCATTGAGGCTTTGAAAAACATGCAGTCTCCTCGACTAGTGAAAACACACTTGCCTGTTCAACTTCTTCCTTCTTCCTTTTGGAAGAATAACTGCAAGGTAGCAAATTATTTTTTAATCTTCTTTTCTTAATTTTTTTATTTATCTGAGGGAAAAGCAATTGTTTCGGGGAACTGGCCTGCAAACAGGTATGTATTTGGGAATCCAAAAAAATCTTATTCATGTTGTAATTTATTTTACTAATTATGCAGATATTAAGATGGGGGGATTTCAACCTCTGAGTAAATCACTGGAAAATTAATCATGTGGTCCCTATAGCCTAAAGATCAAGATACCAATGGATGTCAGTGCTGTTGGTAAAGGATTACTTGGTGCCCAAGCCCTGAGATTTTCTCAGGTTTTTTATTCTCTAAAATGTTTTTCTGTCTAAATTTCTTCATCAGTTATGAATAATATATATTTAAATAACCCTAGACTTGCTTATTCATTAATTCAGTATAGTAGCAATTTATAAATATGTAATTAAATTATATATTATATTATAAAACATAATTATATTTAAGTTAGATAAGTGATATATAACATATAATATAAATTATTTATTAAAATTTGTACTTATATATTTATAGATATATATCTTTACATGTAAAATACAAAAATTTATGGATCAGGTTTAGACTTCTTTGTTAATAATTATCTTAATTCAAAAGTAATATATTACTTTTATTACAAAAGGGAGAAAGTTCATATATTATGATCTATACCTTGATAAATTTTCACAAAGTGAGCATAACCATGAACCCAGCACCCAGATCAAGAAATTAGACACTACACCCTTGCTGGTGTGGCTCAGTAGATTGAGCTCTGGCCTGTGGACCTAAAGGTCTCCAGTTAGATTCCCAGTTGGGGCACATGCCTGTGTTGTGGGCCAGGTCCTGGGTGGGGTGCATGCAAGAGGGGACCAATCTATGTTTCTCTCACACATCATTATTTCGCCCCTTTTCTTTCTTTCTCCTTTCTCCTCTCTCTAAAAATACATAAAATATTTTTTAAAAGAAACTGAACATTACCAACACCCAAAAAGCTCTGTTCCAGTACAATTCTAGGCAAGAATCCCTATCTCCAAAGATAATCCTAACCAGAAAGTTTTCACCATGAATTAGTTTGCTTGTTTTGTCTGTAATCATCAAATACATAGTCTTAAATATTTAGCTTATTTCATTTAACATGTTTGTGAGATTAATCCTTATCATTCTTGTCATTTTTGTTTCTGTTTTATATAATGTAGCCTTCTGGGTCACAAAATATGGTACCCTGGATAAAAGTAGCTCATTAGAAGTACCAATTCTCAGGTCTGATTCAGACCTACTGAATCAGAAACAGTAGGGTAGGGACCAACGATCTGGGTTTTAATAAGACCTGGTGAATTTGATTCATGCTAATGTTTGAGAACCACTGATATAAGGCATTTCATTATGTATTTCTGACTTACTTACTTTTTCTATTTCTATTGATATGATCATGTGGTTTTTATCTTCTCGTTTTGTAAATGTTGTGTACCTGCTTAATGAATTTGCAGATATTGTACCAACCTTGTATTCCCTTGATCCTTTAAATCTAAACAAACCCTACTTCATCATGGTGTATGATCCTTTGAGTATGCTGCTGGACCTAGTTTGCTACTATCTTGTTGAGGGTTTTAGCATCTATTTTAATCAAGGTTATTGTCATGTAATTTTCTTTCTTTGTAGTGGCTTTATCTGGCTTTGGAATTAGGATAATGTTGGCCTCATGAAAAGAGCTTGGATGTCTTCCCTCCTCTGGATTTTTAAAAATAGTTTGAGAAGAATATGTGCTCTTCTTTGAATGTTGGGTAAATTCACCTTTGAAGCCATTGGGTCCAAGACACTTACTTGTTCATTGGGAGTTGATTACTGCCTTAATTTCATGATTTTTCATCAATATATTCATATTTTCTAATTCTTCCTGATTCAGATTTGAAACATTGTATAGTTCTAGGAATTTATCCCTTTCATTCAGATTACCCACTTTGTTGTCTTATTATTCTTCATAATATTTTTGGACAACTGTTTGTATTTTTTTGGCGTCAGTTGTTATTTCTTTCTTTAACTATTTTATTTATTTAGGTCTTCTCTCTTTTTTTTTCTTGATGAGTCTGGTTAAAGGGTTTTCAATCTAGTTATTCTTTCAAAGATCTAGCTTTTGATTTTGTTAATTTTTTATATTGCTTTTTAGACTCTATTTCATTTATTTCTGCTTTGATCTTTAGTATTTCCTTTCTTCTACTCACTTTGGTCTTTGTTTGTTGTTTGTTTAATTATTTGAGATTTTTCTTGTTTCTAAGTTATGCCTGTAATGATTTGAAATTCCCTCTTAGGACTGCTTTTGCTGTGTCCCATAGGTTTTAGTTTGTTTTGTTCTCACTTTTATTTGTTTCAAAGTATGTTTTGATTTTTTTCTTAATCTCACTATTAACCCATCCATTGTCTAGTAACCTGTTATGTAGCCTCTTTGTCTTTGTGTGTTTTTCAGTTTGTTTCTTTTAATTGATTCCTAGTTTCATACCATTATGTTCAGAAAAATTGTTTGATATAATTTCAATCTTCTTAAATTTATTGAGATTTGTCTTGCCTGCCAACATTTGGTCTAACCTAGAAAATGTTCCATGTCCACTTAAAAATATTGTGTATTCTAAAGATGTAGGGTGAAATGCTGTGAAGATACCAGTTAAATTATTCTGGTCTAGTATGTCATTTAAGGCTGCTGTTGCCTGTTTAATTTTCTGCCTGAAAGATTTATCCATTGATGTAAATGGGGTGTTAAAACCCCTTACTATTACTGTATTACTCTTGGTCTCTCTCTTTATTTATGTCCATCAAGATATGCTCTATATATTTAGTTGAATCTATGTTGGGTGCATAAATGTGTATAGGGTTATATTCATTTGTTGTCTTGATCCGTTTATCATTATGCAGTGTTCTTTGTTTCTTTATAGTCTTTAAAGTTTATTTAGTCAAATATAAGTATTATTTTTTGCAAGAAATCTTTTTCCATCCTCTTAGTTTAAGTCTGTGTGTTTTTTAACTCTGAGGTGCATCATTTATACATTACACATATCTTGTTTTCTTATTCAATCAACTACCCTGTCTTTTGATTGGAAGTTTTAAGCTATTTGCCTTTAAAGGATCATTGATAGGGATATATTTATTGCCATTTTATCCTTCACAACTATCTTTCTCTTTTTCCTTCTCTTCCTTCCCCTACTCCCTCTTCTTCCTCCTCAAGAAGATCCTTTACCATTTTTCCTAATATTGGCTTGGTAGTAAAGAACTTCTTCACTTTTTTTTGTTTATGAAGCTCTTTATTTCTCCTTCAGTTTAAATGATAGTTCTTCTGGGTAAAATAGTCTTGAATTTAGGCCAGCCTTTTCTGAATCTCCACTATTGCTACCAGTCTTGATATATCTTCTTCTGTAAATCCTTTGGTGTAAGACTTAGTTGGTTATTCAAACTGATTTTTCTATATTTTAGTTGCATTTTTAGTTTGTTTCTGGAAGGAGGCAAATGTAGGTTCCACCTAGTTCACCACCATCTTGGATCTTTTATTTCATTATATCATAACTCACTCAGTATTTCCTTTTTCAGGTTTAGAATAATATCTTAATTTTGAGATTAGTCAGTATGTCAGTATATATTTTTTTCCACCAACATTAGAGTATTCTGTATTTGTTTCTAAATATGCCATCCCCCAGATCGTGATGATATTCTCTTTCCTGTTTACTTCTATCAGCTTTGTTGTTTCAATACTCACATTTAAATCTAAACATAGTTCATATCTATAATATAATTATTCTTTAAATATTTTGATATATTAGTATTCTTTATTTTTTCTCATGCACATGCTACATACACACCCTTAAATTATTTCCTAAATATTTGTTGCTAGTATACACATGAATCTTTTATCCTGAAACCTTGATTGTCAGTATAAATGCAAACATAAATAAGATATTTTCTGTTATCTAAGAGTATATTGTATTATTTAATTTCTACAGATACTGTGCTGCTGAGCTTTGTCTGCTTGCAAGTCACTTTTCTATGCTACATTATGCAATGGTTTAAATAGCATATGGTCCTGCAAAGTACATCAAATAGTGGGAGAAATACATATATATGAAAAATAATTACATATTACTAACATAAGTGCTACCATGGGACAACACCATTCTATAGATGGAGAAAAAAATTGATCAATATGCTAAAAAAAGAATAGGAGCTTTTTTTTTTAGATGCATTAAGTCATTTTACAGAGAGAAAATTCTGTGTACATAGGCTAGCAGATGTGAAACAACAATGTGTGTGTCAAGATTTACAAAAGGTTCAGTGTGGTTAAAAATGAATCTGGGATGGTAGGCAGTCATTAATTCTGAGAAAGATGTTTAGAGTATGCTTTACCACAATATCTTTAATGGAATGACCAAAACATCTGTTGTTTTTCTCTTGAAATTTTTATTATAATTTCTGTTATACAAATAGCTTTTGTTCATGTGTCTATGTTTTCTTTTTTCACTTAAAGTCTAATAAAAAACAAAAGTGATAAGATAGTAAAAATAAAGTTTATCATTTTATTGAAGAAATAAAAACCCATATGAAACCTCACAATCTATGGCCTTGCTCTTGAGAGAGCTGGGGGATATCTTCTAGATACCTTCTGCCCACCCTGAGGCAAGTGGAAACAGACCTTCCTAAAGATTTTAAAGTGATAATGATAGGAAAAGAAAACAATTTGTTCATCACCATAACCTTTTGGTATTGAAATAGGAAGTGATTGGTAATGTTTATAAGGTTTAGTATTTTCTCACAAAATTACATCAGCAGCAGAGTTTCAACTGTTAGAACTCCATAATCAATCTTTTGAAAAATCCTTTTCCAGACATTCCCTTCCTTCTCTCATTCTTGTCCCAAAATATGAGAACTACTACCAGTGATTGGGAAATATAAAAGAATTCTCATTTCCTTTTTCTCTCAGTAGAAAAAGAAGAAGAAAATCTGAATTTGCTAAGCTAAATGGAGATTTCTTCCTGAATGCATCTTTCCTTAGAAATATTTTTACTGCATGTGTGGCTGGAAACTCAGTATTATTAGGTGTATTTCAGGAGAGAATGAGACTTAATGGAAATCTGCAGACTTGATGGAAAACTTAAGTATCAATGAGGGATAATAATGTCATTTCTATTGGGAAATATACTGAAAATTTCTGCATAAGCACATGGAAGGCCTTCAACATAAAATAAATTTTAATCTTACACTAATCATTGTAAACATGGACAGAATGAAGATTTATTGATGAATTTCACACAAATAATAACTTATTTTAGTGAAACATAGGTATTTTCAACTCTAAAAATCATTTATTTTTCAGCTTTGATAAGTGATGATGCAGAAAAGTATTCTAAATTTTAGAAAATATTAAGATTTTTAAATTTAATATTTATTGTTATTCTTATTATGCTTGTCTTTCCATGTTTTAAGAGATGTTCTTTTCAGAGGAAAGAGAACACCAGTGTCTGAGAGTTGAGAAGTTTTGCATTAAGACAATCACGTAGTTGTGCTTTCCTGTATCAGGACAGATATACACACCCAGATAAGGAAAAATAGAAGGAGAAAATAGGCCTTCTGTCAAGGTAAGCAAAAGTTTACAAACTATGAATGATAGAGAGAAAGTTATGATTTCTCATATTCCCTGCAGATGGTCTATGTGGCACGAAATGCTAAAGATGTGGCTGTGTCTTACTATTATTTCTACCAAATGGCCAAATTACACCCAGAGCCTGGTACCTGGGAGGAGTTTCTACATAAATTCATGACTGGGAATGGTGAGTCTGACTCTTATTTTAATCAATCATGGAGTTTCACGATAAAAAGGTGGTTTTTTTGTGTTATTGTTCTTTTGTGAGGAGATATAAAATTCAGATGTAATTTTGTACTTATTATAAACCTAATATGTGCCCAGCACTGCACTAATGTTTTAGGAAGACAATAGAAGAATACATAGTCATCTCTTCCCTTTAAGGATTTTTGAGGAATATGTGACACACAGAATTTTCAGCCCTTGGTCTCATTGTTTCATTAGTACTTGGTGACTACTCCTAGGTACTTTCTTCTCTTATTGTCTCTGTCATTTTATTGTTTTGATTTTATTGAACTCTCTTTCCTTGAACTCTCTTCTCTTTACCATTCCTTCAGTTTTGTTTTATAAACTGAGAATTCTTGAATGAAGATTTTATCTTCAAAGTTTCCTTTTTCCTATCTGTGTATCCTCTCTTTCAGGAAAACTTACTCATGCCCATGGTAGTAACTCTACTTTTAATTCTCATATAAACATTTTCTAATAAATATGTTTATTTGCTTCTTTTCAAGGCAAATGCACCCAATGACATCTTGGAAATTTTTACTCCTGCCGTTGTTTGGACTATTTTCTACCCATAGAATATCTACTCATTCTTTTATTTCCTAAATATTTTCAAGTGTGTTTCCTAAGAACAAGGATATTCTCTTACTTAAATACAGTACTATAATAAAACCCAGGTATTTATATTGATATAATACCATAATCTATGGACTTTGCTCTTACTTTGTCAATTGTCTCAATAATGTTTTTTATAGTAATATGTACATAATTCTGGTCCATGATCCAATTCACAATCACTCATCACACACTGCATTTAATTGTCAAGTCTCTTTATTCTATGGTCTATCTTTGTCTTTTATGACCTTTACAATTGTCAAGGTCATAAAATAGGACACACCAGTTGTTTTACAAAATGTCGCTCAAGTTGTTTTATAAAATGTCACTCAAATTGGTGTTTGTCTGGTTTTTTCTCATGATTATATCAAAGTTATGAATTTTTGGTGGGACACTATAGAGGTAATGTGGAATCCTTATGAATCATATCAAGAAATACATGGTGTCAATTTATCATTTTCTGCTAACATTAACTTTGATCACTTAGGCTGCCAGTTACATCTACTGTGAAGTTGCTACTCTTCTTAGAACCAGACATAGTTTGTTTCCTCCAGAGCCCTTTCTTCACCTCTGCATCCCAGTACTATTCTGTCTTTGTTTTCCTCTGCTATGAACATTTGTACTACTTATTGTCTGTACTACTATCTTCCATTTTGCTCTTCTAGTTTTATTTGTCAAAAGTCGTACTCATTTGCTAAGGCTGTCACAACAAAGTAGTGCATAGTGAATTGTTGAAACAACAAAAATTTATTTTCTCACAGCTTTGGAGCTCAAGTCGAAGATCAAGGTGTCCCCATGATTAATTTCTTCTAAGGCCCTTTTCTTTGACATGTAGGTGGATATCTTCTCTCTGTGTCTTTACATGTTCTTCTCTCTGTCTATGTCTGTGTTATAATTACCTCTTGTTACAAAGAGACCAGTCTTATGGGATTAGGATATGTTTGGGATGTGAAAACTTTCCCCTTTTTTCTTAGTTCTTCTGGATGGTAGAATGATTCCAATGACCTAAGGAAGATTAACAAAAAATAAATAAAATTTTAATACATGCACCCGGACAATTCACATGAAAATGAACAATTCAAAGACAGGAAGGCAAAATTATATATATATATATATGTCATTCTGTACAAAGAACAAAAAACCAGGGAAGCAAGACAAATGCACAAGAGATTTTTAGTAACAAACATTTATGGCTGTATTAAAACAATGGGCAACATGAAGAGCTTTGATCAAATGGGCTTTGCTAGGTTCCTTCCTGTCTACCATTCCTAGTTCATATTAAACTGGAATTATCCACGATGATATCTCCCTTCCTGGAGCACGTCCACTATTTTAAATAGTTTTAGTTAGTAAAAGGGAAGGCCAGAGTTTCTTCCTCAGCTCCTGATCCTTGATTGTTTTTAGTTTAAAATAATCTGCATACCAGAATAACACACATTGAGGTGACTCATTCTGAACCACCACAGACCTACCTTAATAACCTAATTTTTATTTACCTCTTTAAAGACACTATCTTCAAATATAGAAATATGCTGAGGTGCTGGGCTTAGGACTTCAACACATGAATTTGGGGGTATTCACAATTCAGACATTCTCCTTCTAGTCTCCCCAAATTCATATTTTCACATGCAAAATGCATTCACTACATTTCCAAAGCTTCAAAAGTCTCAAACTGTCCCTTCATCAACTCTGAATCTAAAATCTCATCTAAATATCATGTAAATCAAGTATAGGTGAGAGTTAAAGTGTGACTCACTTTGAAACTAAATTCCTTTTTAGTTGTGAACTTGTGAAAACAGATAATCTTCTTAGAAAGCACAGTGATGGGACAGGCATAAATAATCATTTTTATATGAAACAGAAGAAAGAGAAATCAAAAAGAAAAAAAGACCTGAAACCTAGCAAGGCAAATTCCATTAGATTTTAAGGCTTGAGAATAGTCCTCTGGACTGGGACCTACACTAATGACCTCATTTTAACTTAATTACCTCCTTACGTGTCCCATGCCTAAACTCAGTCATATTGTAAAGTACTGGTTGGTTTTTGAGGAACACAATTCATCTATTAGCAGAAGTACATCATCCTTTTTTTAGACATAAATTCTGTGAGAACAGGGATGATTTTATATATTTTCATTATACTGTTGTCTCTTTTTCATGAATGAAGAAGTGAACAGTATGTATGTATTAATAATGATAACATAGAGTAATATTTAACAATTCTTTATGTAAATAGTTTTAATTTTGCAAGCATTTTATCTTTGAATGTAGTGGCTTTTGGTTCTTGGTATGACCATGTGAAGGGCTGGTGGGAGAAAAGGAAAGATTATCGTATCCTCTACCTATTCTATGAAGACATGAAAGAGGTAAGAGACAACCACAATTTCTTTACTTTTTAAGGAAACCTAAGCTTCATCTTCTTTGTATTACACTTTCCTTTCTTCTTGATCTATAAATATGACTAATCTAGTATCCTGCTAACTCTGCCTTGAGAATTCAGTGTTCACTCCACCCACTTCTTCCTACTACCACTGCTTCCTATTCTAGTTCGGACAACTCTAGATTTTTCAGATTGTGTCATTTTGTGTGTGTTTTTCCCTCAGAGAGAATGATTCTCAAACCTAAGTCAAAATACTCCCAAATTCTTTTTAGAAATCTCGCCATGGCTTCTATTTCTTTGTGAAATATAAAATTGTTAAGATAATATATAAAGTTAAACATTATTTAGTTTCTGTGAATCTCTCCAACTTCTACAGGTGCCACCAATTCCTTTCTCTATGAGGAAATGTCTTCATGTAATGTCTTCACTTAAATGTTACTTCTTCACACAGTTCTTTTACTGCCAAAATGTCAAATAATATACCTTATTATTATCTACTAGAGCTTGTTTTGCTGCTATTGCTCTCTTCATAGTAACTACTACCACTCTAATTATTTTATGAATGTGTTTCTTTATTTATATGTTCTTGTCTCCTCTACTATAATGCAAGCTCCATGAATGCAGAGACTCAAACTATTTTGTCCATAATTGTTTCCCCAAGAGGCATGCACAGTGGAGAAACAATGTAATTTCCTTCTTTATTCTAGTTTTTATCTTCTCATCTTTCACCTGATTATGAGAATGGAAAATTACTCACTCCCTAACATGATCTAAAACTTATTTTGATTTATTTTAAAAAGTGTTGTTCCACGTCTCCTCATAAATGAGTGTAGACTGACAGCTGTCAGGGGTGTGTTGCTGGGTGGGGAGGGTATGAGTTGAGAAAAAAGAAAGAAGTCATGAACATGGACAACAATGTTGTGACTGCTAAGCTGAGAGATGGTGGAGGGTGTGAGGGGAATAAATGGTGATGGATGGAGACTTGACTTGGAATGGTAACACACAATACAGTGTAGAGATGATGTGTTGTAAAAGTGTGTACCTGAAACCTGTATAATTTTGTTAATCAGCACCACCAGAATAAATGCAATGAAGATAATGTCCCACATTTTTAATTGAATTTTTCTCAGATAGCTTGTCCACAACTCTCTTTTCTCTTTAACATGATGTCTATGTGGGTGGGGGCAAATAATAAATTATATAAGACATAATAAGAATGAGGATAGCTGGGGTCCCTAGGAACAATGTCCATTGACTTCCCCCTCCTCACAGTCTATCTGGTTTATCTGCATCAATTGCTCAGTTTCTAGAACCTTGACTCAAACTCATTTTGATCCCTTAGATTTCTCTGAATTACTTTAGATGACTATGACCACTGTACATTTTTTGTTTAGAAAATCAAATCTACAGCCTCTTGGGAAACTACCCTACTCAGCTAGGGTAGATCTCTCTCTGGTAGATTCCTTAGTCAAATTGTAGTCTCTTCTGTATCCTATTCAAGTTACTTTGTACCTCTGACTTTGAATTATGCTGCTATATTAGCTCATGAGTGAGTCCAAAAGCAACAAGTAGTGGTTGGAGTGGGTCCTGAAGAGGATAAGCATTTTATTGGAAGGAAAATTCCCAAATGATGTCATAAAAATAAGGTTTCAGAAAAAGAAGTCTAGTTACTTCAAATATGGGATGAAAATCTATATCTGATGCCAGAAAGGCTCACAATAACTCAAGGGTCACAGAGTCTTTGTATCAGCACATCCACCCCAAATTCTCACTACAAGCTTGAGCAGTCCACCTTTTCTCTATCACCGTTCCACTTAATTTTCACATGATAGACTTGGAACAACTAGAAATTCAACTTTCTTAGTAATTCTTCCACTAGAATAATTAAGGTGTTTGTGTAATTTTCAGTAAATTTAGTTTTGTAGCTAGAAGAAATAGATTATTTTAGAATCACTACAGAAACTCTCTGGTTCTGTTTCCATAGGTGGGTAGGTTTTTTTTTGTAACAGAGATGGGTAACTCAAGAAAGGTAAATCTCAGATTGCCCTTCTTTCCAATCTCACCAGGTCACTAAGATTATGGCTCTATTTCTGTTTGGTTTGTACCACCAACAACACCTCCCAGTGGGTACCAGGGTACAAACTCTTTGGCTTAAGTACCATTCTTTCATTTTATCTAACATGCTGTCTTATGCACAATCTGAAGTACAGGAAGAGGAAAGTGTGACCTTCCTAAAATGTGCTAAAAAACCACAACAGCTGAGCCCAGCCCCTGTATCTCTATTTGACTGGCTCAAGGCCTGGCACTAGCTGTAGCCATCTCCAGATTGCTTTATAGCTTATACCAAGGGGCCACAGACACAACACAGCTGGAGGTTGACCTTGACTTCCCCCCACTTCCCCTAGGAAGTGACTGCACCACTAGGGAAGCCTCACACTCTGTGCACCCAGTGGACAGTTACAGAACATATCAGAGTCCCACGCAACCACCTCCACAAGACACTGAGGGAGATAGGTGCTTGCCAAGAGACATAGATAGTCCTATCAGCTGTCTGATTTGGATAAATCCCTTCCATTGACCTGCTGACAATAATCAAGATGCATACACAAGAGGAGAGAGTACTCAGCCCCCACACAGGGTGCACCTTGAGTGCACAACTTGGGAGATAGGAGAGGCTATGCTAATGGACCCAACAGAACACCTACTACATTAGACCATGCTACCAAGACACAGAGTCAAAGTAGATCTCCCTAATACACAGAAAAAAATACAAACAGTCAAAATGAGGAAACAAAGAAATGTGGCCTAAATGAAAGGACAGAACAAAATTCCACAAAAAGAACTGACCAAAATGGAGATAAGTAATCAGATGCGGAATTCAAAACACTGCTTTATAAGGCTGCTCAGAGAATTCAGTGGGTACTCCAATGGCATACAAAGATGCAGGCAGCAATGAAAAGAAATACTAATTGAAATAAAGAACATTTTGAAGGGACATCCAAACCATGGTCCATGGACCGTATGTGGCCCAGGATGTCTATGAATGCAGACCCCCACAAAAATCTTGAATTTACTTAAAACATCATGAGATTTTTTTGTGATTATGTGTCACAATATATTTAATGTGTAGGCCAAGACAACTCTTCTTCCTCCAGAGTGGCCCAGAGACACCAAAAGTTTGGACATCCCTGCTTACAGGGAATCAATAGCAGAATGGATGAAGCCAACAAGCAAAGAAATGATTTGGAGCATTAGGAAGAAAAAAACAACTAATCATTATAAAAAGCAGAAAAAGAATACAAGAAAATCATTTAGTTATTTTTTCACAGGCACTGTAAGGAGCCTCTGGGACAACTTCAAACATTCCAACATTCGCATTATATGAATGCCAGAAGGAGAAGGGAAAGAACAAGAAGTTGAAAACTTATTTGAAAATCATAGTAAAAGAAAACTTCCCTAGCTTGGTGTAGGAAATAGACATACAAGTCCAGGAAGCACAGCCAGTCCCAAAAAGGATGGACACAAAGAGGACCATAGCAAGGTGCATAATAATTAAAATGCCCAAGGTTAAAGATAAAGAGAGAACCTTAAAAGCACCAAGAGAGAAGCTGATACTTACCTTCAAAGGAGTTCCCATTAGACTGTCAGCTGGTTTCTCAAAAGAAACTTTGTAGCCTACAAGAAATTCACAACTTGTATTCAAAGTGATGAAGAGCAAGGACCTGCAACCTAGATTACTCTATCCAGCAAAGCTATCATTTAGAGTCAAAGAACACATATTGCACCAAACTCTTATATGTGAAATGTTAATGGGACTTATTTAAGACAAAGAAGATCAAAACTATGAACATTAAAATGACAATAAATATATAACCAATAATTTAATCTAAAAAACTAAGCAAACGAGCAGTACAGAAATGGAATCACAGATATGGAGAGCATTGTGATGTTGGCCTCTGAGGGAGTTCTGGGGAGATGTGGGAAAAGGGGCAGAGTTTAAGAAGTGCTAATTTGTAGTTACAGAATAGGCGGGTGGATGTTAAGAATAAATATAGGAAATGGAGTAGCCAAAGAGTGATATGCATGAAAAAAAGAGGGGGGATCAATAGAAGAAATGGGCAGTGCTTGGTACAGGAGGGGAAAAATCGGGACAACTGTAATGGGATAATTCATTAAAAATAAGTAAATAGAATAGAATAGAATAAACAAATAGAAAATGGGGACACCTGTAATAGCATAATCAACGTTAATTAATTAATAGAAAAAAGCATAATAAATACTTTAAAGTAGTCTTTCTTCTTTATTGCTGCCTCTTTCTCCTCCTTATCATTCTTTAGGCTGGAAAATGGACAGAATTTTATTTTCCTTTCTCCTAATATATTCATATTATCTAAAAATATCTATGTGGGTATGAGGGGTGTAAAGAGTATCTTTTTTCCACTGTAAGAGAACTCTCTGAGACAAGGAATCTATTCTTAATTGAGATTTAATTGATATAACATTATTTGCAGGTGTACAATATAATAATTCAATATGTGTATATATTGTGGAATGATCACCACAGAAATTCTAGTTGATATCCATCACCACATATCATTACAATTTTTTTCTATGTGATGGGAACTTTTAAGATCTCTCTTAATAACTTTTATATATATGATGCACTATTATTAACTGTACTTAACAATTGTTCCTAATCTTGGAGGAATTATTTTCAGGTTTTTACCACTGCTTATATTAGGTACGGGCCTGTCATATATGGTGTTTATTGTGTTGAGACATGGCCCCTCTATCTTCTTAACTGAGAGTTTTTATTATAAAGGAATGTTGAATTCATCACATGCTGCATCTATTGAGATAATGTAATTTTTTATGCACCACTTTGTTAATGTGATGTATCACTTTGATTGCTTTATAGTTGTTGAACTATCCTTTCACTCCTGAAAAAAGTCTGACCTGATCATGGTTGTATGTTCCTTTAACAGTGCTTTTAAATTTTGTTTGCTAGTATTTTACATCTATGTTAATCAGGGATGTTAGCCTATAATTACCTTTTTTTATACTTCCTTTGTCTGGCTTTGTATCACAGTAATGTTAGTTTTCCAAAATGCGATTAGAATTGTTCCCTCCTCTTTTATTTTTTGAAGAGTTTGAAAAGGATTTGTATGAATTCCTCCTAAAATTTTAGTAGGCAATCTGTTCTTGAAAAAGCATGAAAAAAAAAAGACTGAGAGATTTTGTAAATTATAACTTAGATAATAGTAACTTCCTTTGAAACCATCTGTTATTCTATAGGTTAGTTCTATTGTTGAATGTGAAAGCTTAAATATTAATTCAATATTTTAATTTTTCCTTTTTGGAAACATATTTTTTCTAGGAGGTGATTGCCAATTACAATCAAGAATACAATATGTACATGGGAAGGCAAAATGAAAAGTGTGGATAAAATATAAAATATTTTCCTCCACCATATTGACTTATATAGAACCTAATTGAATGTGTTTGCCTACTTCATGACTAGATCTACCTGTTTTACTTTGTCTTTATATTTGTTTAGGATCCAAAGCGTGAAATTCAGAAGCTGTTAAAGTTTCTAGAGAAAGACCTGCCAGAAGAAACTGTGAATAAAATCCTCTATCATAGTTCTTTTGATGTGATGAAGCAGAATCCTTGTGCAAATTATACTACTGTACCAGCATTTGGTATGGATCATAATGTATCTCCCTTTATGAGAAAGGGTGAGAACATCGTATCTTAGCTCCTGTAGATTTTGTTAGTCCCATAAAAGAGAGGAGAGGTGGATTAATAGGAGCATTGTTATAAGAAATGGAAAGAGATTGAGGGGAAAAAATTAGGAAAACCAAAAACTTAAGAGAAAATAATTCATGGCAAAGAAACTATTGTTGCTGTAATACTACCATGTGAGACAAGTCTCTAGTGAGATATGTTTACTCAGGAGCCTCTATATCAAGAAGCATGAGTCTTGGCACAAGTTTCTATATCAGAAGAATGTCCTTCACTTCTCTGAATTATCTATTCTTCATTCCTTAAAAATGTTTTGGTGGCAGTTAGCAAGCTTACATGGTGTTAGACATTTTAAACAGGAAAAGTTTCAACTCCTTGAGGTTGTTGCTATGATTATGGTAAGTCATTGCATCCTTGGCTTTGAACTCAATTTACAGCTATCATCTTGCACAAAAGAGTGCTTTAATAAATAATAAATATGACTTGTATTGAATTGTGTGTGTTTGGGAGAGAGAGAGGGGGAGAGAGAGGAAGACAGATTCTCTTAGCTATGTTATAAAACCAACTCCAACAATCTCAGTGACTTAAAACCACAAGATTAATTTTTATTTAATATTGGTGGTTGTTAGTCAACAACCAATACCTCTGGTTATTGCAGTTATGCTCAGTTCTTTTTGAGTCTGATCAGTGTTCATTGGCTCTTATGAGCTTAATCTTTTGTGCCTTCTCTTTCTGAAACCCAGGCTGAAAGAGTTGCTGGTTTGTGGAATGTACCATCATTATGGTACAGAGAAAGTGAGGTAGTGGAAACATGTAATGATTTTGAAATGGTTCTGTTCAGATGTGGTATATATTGTACCTATTCAAAACCCATTGGCCATAGCATATAAAAAATTCAAGCCTACAGTTAGAGAGGTAAGGAAGAATCACACAACATGCGACAATTTTCAGAGATGTAAAATCTTATGTGAAAGAGAGGATGAATCATTCAAACTGAGACAGTTTTTGAGAAACAGGTGTTTTGGTGAGAGCCTACAAAGGGAACTATTTAAGGTAAATTAAATTACAATATGTCAACATGCATTTTAAAGATTTTTCTTTTAAAAAGTAAGTATGCCATAGATAAGCATTGCTCAGGACATCTGAATCACAAGTACATAAGATTTTGCCTTCTGGGAGACATTTGGCAATATCTGGAGGTATTTTTGCTGATCATAATAGGGGCATGTAACTGACATCTAATATGTAGAAACAAAAGATGCTGATAAATATGCTACATGCAGAGGGAAATCCCACATCCTCCTGGAAATAATGGTCTGGTTTCAAATGAGGAGAGGCAGATGCAAATAAAACGCCAAAGTTGAGAAATACTCAGCTTCCAAATGTATCTTCTGGATTACTCTGAGATATTCTATGAAAATGGCATTGTTTTATCACATATTTATTGCAAATTCTGTATCTCATATTCTTCCTTTGAGACTTTAAATATGGTTAATATGTTGAAAATTGAACAATCCTATAATGTAGATATGTTCAGTCACATATAAGCCAGTAATTTTCCAATCTTACTTCATCATAGAACTTTTGAAAATAAATATCATTTGACATTGAAAAATAAGTTTTTAAAAGGACTGGAAAATTCACTGTATCCTGAGTTAACAAATCACTTAAAGCCAAAGAGTAAAGATTCGATATGTTGTGTAGTGTCCCAGTGACACTTCTTAAAGCTACTTAAAAAATATTTCCTTCTTTATATAAGCTCTGAGAAAAATGCATAAGAATTTTTTGAAAACTAAGAAGGTCTAGGAGTCTGGGAGTGGAAGTAGGAGTCAAGGAATAGAGTTATGGAATAAATATATTCTAAAGTTAAAAGCTTAAAAATGACAGGGACCAGAGGAGAGAGGGGAGAGAATTTCAGGGGGAAAGGGGAAGGATTCACAGGAAGAAGTATAAAGGAGACATGGACAAAAACTAAGGTGGGGGGGATGGAAGGGAGGTGGGGAGTACTGGGGAGGTGGGTTGGGATTTGAATAAAAGACAGAAAACTGTACCTGAACAATAATTAAATAAAAAATATATATAAATGCTTAAAAATAAACAAAAAAATTAAGTGTGGTCATTCAAATTAAAACTGATCTTAGAAGGAACTTTTACAGTAATATCAAATTTACCATTTATCTTTCTTTTCAGGTATTGCAGGAGACTGGAAAAACAAGTTTACTGTAGCCCAAAATGAGAAGTTTGACGAAGATTATGAAAAGAAAATGAGAGAGTCTACACTGAAGTTTCGTTCAGAGATCTCATAAATAAGTGCTCTTTGTCCAACTGCTTTATGGCATTTAAATAAAAAAATCTCTTTAAACACTTGGTGAAAGAAAATTCTATATGTGATATTTTCTTATTTAATAATGTTAGTGATTTGCAATAGAATATTCAAAGAATTTCAAAGTCTACATATAAAAACAAGTACTGGCTCTATAATTTTAACTACCATCCTCAAAGTTTTTACTATTCTTAAAGACTAAATGAAATAATGTTTAAAATTATAAATTTACCTGCTTTATTTTTTTAATTCAAGTTATGAGTCTTTAAGCTTGCAAAGAAGATATTCATGATAGATTGAATGGATCCAAATATTCCCCAAAAGACTTTAATTTCCCTTTGTTATAACTTAGAATGATAACTATGTGGTGATGGATGATAACTTGTAGTAGTGATCATTTCACAATATATACACCATTAAATTATTTTGTTGTACACCTGAAACTAATATAATGTTATATATCAATTCCATCTCAATTCAAACAACAATTGAGAGTGCCACTGTCAACTTCTTTGTCTTCTTAGAATTTCTCTGTTTCCTCAGAATAGTTGCAGTGCCATCATACATGACTCATGATCATCTGACATGAGTGAAACCAGAAAAATCAGCATTTGTGCTGCCTGTCACTACCAGAGCCACTAAGTAGAGACAAGAATTGAATCTCTCTGGGGACTTTATTCAGATGCCACTGATCTGATAAGATGGTGGGTTATGTACTCTCAAAAACATCTTAACATCTCACTTCAAGCCAATCTTTTTATAAGGAGAAGAAACTGTGGGTAAGGGGTTTGGAAGAAAGGTAATTCAGTAAGAGTTGCAGTCTAGGGATGATTTTCCTGGTATTTCTTTAGCTGCTGATCAACAATTCTTTTTTCCCCATGTATTTCTTTTCTTTTAAGTATATTTTATTGATTATGCTATTACAATTCCATTCTTTTCTCCTCTTCATCCCCCTCTACCCTGTACCTCCCTAGTACATGTCCATGGGTGGTACAAAGTAAGGAGCCAGTGTGAGTCTATAAATTGTATTGGAATAAAGTTCAATCTCTTTATATTTGTCATCATATAAAATTATACACAATTGCTATAGACACAAATAGAAACAGTGAGAGAAGTATGAAAAAATAAATATTAATATGTATAATTTAATAATATACACAGAGTTATAGATATAATTCAATTATACATACATATATTCTTATGTATATGAATGTCATTGAATAATATGTTAATATAGGTTGTATATATTAATATTATATACTTATACATATTGTTACTCACATATATTATGTATTCATTTATATTATACATTGTTATATAATATTATATAATACTATCTATATGAATATATAATTGAATAGTATATATATATACATACACATAAGTGGATCATGTTTTATTGATTCTGGTGCTATGTGGAGTGCATGCATGCTACTGGAGACCAATCTTATAAATCACAGATAATTTCATAGGTCATAATGTCAGAATACTTCATTTTAGATGCATTAAATTTCAAAAGAATGGGTCAACACTACTAATTCTGAATTATCTAAATCAGGGAAGATTAGAATGATCCAATTCCTTTTATTTTGTATGTCACATATTGAATCTACTCTAAAATTCTGTTGCTGTAACTGGTGATATTTTCTCAAAATATTGCCAGCAATGACCAGCCTTTTGTTACAATATTATTTAGATTTAGATGGCTTCTGTAAGAATTTCCCTGTGTGATGATCCACCCTTTAGTCAGACCTATTCTCTTTACCTGGCTTCTGGCTTACTTCAGAGTACTTGCTAAATGGCCCTTTTGCCTCTGGCATTCACAGTTTTTAGTTGTGAACCAAATGCTTTTATCCAAGACTCACTCCTGAGCAACAGAAAGAAACATCAAACTATTTGGTAAAATCTCTAGGGATTTTCTAGAGAAAAACATCTAATCCCCATACATCGAAGACTATATTTTTTATTTATATTGTAAAAAATGAAATAAACAGAGCTATTCTAAAATGGAATCGGAGGCACCAGTCCAGAGGAAATGCTTTGCATGTGTTACTCCTTGAAGGGTTTTGAATATTTGTCTGGAGCAAAATAATCTTTGGACTGGTCTAAATCAGCATTATCTTACAAACAACTATAAAGCTAACAGGAAAAAGCAGGCATCCTGACCCCAAGGCCTTATAATTATGGACATTCTTTAGAGTCAGCAAACTTATAAGTTAATAAGAAAACTTATAAAATGCCTTAACTTCACCCTGCAAGTGGAACAGAACACTATTTGTCTTTCTGCCCAAATCAGTGCTTATAAGACTGCAGTCCTTTGATTTCGAATTAATGTTTATTTCTCCTCACTTTGACTTTTCACTTTTAAAGTTAATAATATAAAATGACAAAATTTATGAAATGAGATGATTAGTGGTTGATAGAGTTTAAAGAAGGGACTGCAGTGAAGTAGCTGAAGGATAACTTGTGGTGATGGAAATATTCCGTATTCTAACTATTAATATCCTGGTGTCGATATTATACTACCGTTTTGGAAGATGTTACCATTGGGAAAACTTGGTAACAAGACACATAGGATCTTTGTATTATTTCTTGGAACCTCATGTGAATCTATAAGTATCCACAAATTTAAATATAATTAAGAAAAGAACAGTTTTGAGAAAGTTATATAACTACAGTCTGAGATACAGTTTAGTTAAAGCAAACCAATTATGATCAATTATGGTGTAGTTCAAAAGGGTTCTAAGGCTTGATTATGGGGTGTGATAAAGGGAATCTTCAAAGAGGAAGAAATCTTTAGTCAGTGGGTGCTTGGCTGTCTGTTCATAGGACTCACTCAGCTTTGAGCCTTGAGAAATGAATATTCCCTCATCTTAAAAGATTAATAGTCTTGTGATATTTACAGGTAAATATCAAAAATATTTTAAAATAATGAATATTAAAAATATTAAAATAAATAAAATATTTAAAATGCTTTGATTCAAGTAAGATTGAATCAAATATTTTTCTCAATAGTTTGTATAGTAGCAAATAAAGGAAATAATACCCATGAGCACCCTGGTCATCTTTTAATATAGCTTCATATTATTCAATTATATGCAAAGTAGTAATTAAATGATTTATCTGTTAATCTCTTAACACAACAGCAATGTAATGAAAGCTGATTAAAGAGATTGAGTTCCCAGAAAAAAATATAAATTTATGCTCAGACTGCTCCAAAAGGAAGAGAAATATATCCACATTGTAGAATTGAGACTGAGTCTTTAAAGCCAGAAGGAGTAAATCATTTCCTTTTTTTCTGAGACAAAGTCCATTGTTTATTTGCTCATCTCAGTTACATGCTCCTTTACCATACGTTAGAGGAATACTTCTCAGGTTGTCAAGGCATTCTTCCAAGTGAAATGAAATATTCTACTTATTTCAAAAGTGCTGTTTCTGCATCAAATTCCAAAATTTTAGATTGCCATTTTTAAGTATAAAATGTCAGAAATAATTTAGACTAATTCTCTACCTTAGTAAAATTACTCCTATTGTGTATTTTCATTGTCTTTGATTTGTTAAACTGTGTATATCTACTCAAATGAAGTATGAAAATAGAAAATTTATTCTTCCAAAATAGAAATAAACAAGCTATTTTGAAATGAGAAAGATATCTTGTGTTTTTTGGCAATAAGAAAATTTCACAACCAAATAATGAGTTAATATGCTTTATTCTTTTTCTCGTATACACGCAGCTAGTTTTTAGATCATGTCACTAGTGTTTTGACTCAGAAAACACTGGCACTGCTCTTCTAATACTTGGCTCAATCAGTATAAAAATTACTCCTTGGGCATTAAAATTTTAAACTTTTTTTAAAAAGATTTTATTTATTTATCTTTAGAGGGGAAGGAGAGAAGGAGAGAAACATCAATGTATGGTTGCCTTTCATGCATCCCCTGCTGGGAACTGGCCTGCAGGGAACCAGCCTGCAACCCAGGCATGTGCCCTGACTGGGAATTGAACTGCGATTCTCTAGTTCGCAGACCTGTGCTTAATCCACTGAGCTACACCAGCCAGGGCTGGGCTTTAAAATTTTAAATACTGCCTATATATGCACTGAGTTGACATGGAAGAGTTCAAATGGACTTATCTAAAATGTCCATTTGATGTAAAATATTTGATGCACAAATGATGTGAAAAGTATTTATAAATGTCGCAAACTCATGTCATTTTGACAACCAGGTCATGTACTACTCCCAAGGATGTACACTCTTCCACGGATGATTCAGGATGGTACAGCTAAGGGGAACTGATGACTGGCAGCTTCATCACAACAATGCACCTGCTCATGCATCATGCCTCTCGTGTAGTTTATGGTGAAGCATCAAATCACTCAGGTGACTCAGCACACCTACAGCCCAGATTTGGTGCCCTGCAACTTCTGGCTTTTCCAAAAACTAATCCCTTCCAAAGGGAAAAGATATCAGAGTATCAATGACTTTCAGGAAAATACCGTGGAGCATCTGGTGGTGACTAGGAGAACTGTGTGAGGTCCCAACGTGCCTACTTTGAAGGGGGCTGAGGTGTCATTGTCCTATGTACAATATGTTTTCTATCTTGTATCTTCTTCAATGAATGTCTCTATTTTTCATATTACATCAGTGTCATGCAAACCATTCTCATTATTTTAACAATGGTGGAATTTTTTCAGACAAAACATATATCCATGTAATGTATATGTATTAATATATATTTATATTTGATATGTTTTTATGTAATGTGTATAAGTTTATACATTTATACCATGTATAATGAATCAAACGTTATAGTATTATACAGGGTGGTTTCAGTGTGCTAACAGTTCTGTGTTTTGCCTGCTCAACTTTTTTTCCCTAACTTCCAGCAACCACTGATGCTTTTAATTTCTCCACAGTTTTGCCTTTTTCAGAATGTTACATACAGGGTGTGGCAGAAGTAATGCCCGTTTGTGTATAGCTGGTGGCGTACCTGAATGTCTCGCACAAGATGAACAGCAATTGGAACATTTCACCTAAAATGTCAAATGGTGTCCTTGAGAATGGTATTGTTATGTTACAGAGCTACATGCTTATGATTTTGTAATAAAAGATTTTGTCATTAAAATGGGGCGTTATTTGTGCTAGACCCGGTGGTTGGAATCATATAGTATATAACCTCCCC